CAAAAGTAAACTTATTGTTTCATGGGTATCGTAGTCCCATATTTCTCTTTCGAATGGTGAAAACCGCACCTCTCTATCTATCACCGTTCGGGAGCTATAAGGTCAACACTGACCGGCCATTCTATTTAGAAATGGATAGTAATTATTACAGTATCTACTACTTTTTACTTGTTTTGTGTCTCGACTCTTTTCCGAGACGAATTTATACACGACTTTGTGTAACAGAATATACGGATCATTTTGACGCTCGTTTAAAATTTATAACTTTGATTAAAGTTGATGTTATGATAATCAGTGGCGGTGGAGCCACTGAGACCCGTGAGGCTCGAGTCTCACCTGGTTTCCACTAATTGAGACTCAGCCTCACTTGATTTTGGACTGAACACTCAGTTAAAATTTGTAATTTTTATGACCTGTTATACGCTTATGGTGGTTTTACTAGAAAAATACTATGAGCCTCACCTAGTTTCATGGCGCTCCACCGCCTCTGGTGATAATGATGGTTAAGATAAGAAGCATCTTAACCATCGTCATCGTAATCATCAGTTATGATCCAAGTTATAAGTTGTGAACTAATGAAAAATAGCAGGTACTTCATGTTACCGTGTCACCTAAAAGTAATTATAGAAAAATTCACATAGAAATACCGAAAAATGGATTTGCCAAGTTTTATTTCGATAAAGTCATACACATTGGTATAAAATAATTTTCATCTGTGAACCATATGATGTTCAATGGCAATATGTTTACTCCCGCGAGATGCAAGCTTTGTAATATTCACCACAAGAATTAGACTACTTTTTACTTCAGAACTGATCCCTCACATCTGATTCTACCCGACCGCCAATACATCGACACTACATCCGTATCAATCTATGCCTAGTAAGAGTCTTAGATGGGAAACCGAAGTTTACTAGAACTTATATTTAATGAATTTTTAAAAATTTTTTGAATTTATTATTTAAAAGAACATCGCTTACAGCCCTTATTAATGAGGTTCATGAATTTTGGATTAGTCGTTCATACGATACTTTTTTTCATGCAACACGCCTATTAAGAAAAAGGTTCTGTACAATGCCTTCCTAAAGTTAAATGAATTGATACAGAATCTTTTATTATTCATTTCAACGAAAATAGACAGCTACGTGGCTCGTCATTTCAGAGGTGGAGCGTTTGCTTTTTAAAATCACGTTCGCTAATTAAAACTTCGTTTTTTGCACTCACACATTTGTTTCTTGAAAAAAACAAAAGAAATAGTTAGATCAGATATGCCGAATTGTTTTTTCTTTTTGCTTCTTATCTTTTTTAACGAACAAAGAATTTTAATTTTATCTAATAAGCGTACTTGTGAATAAATAATAGTTGTTCTGTGATATGCGTAAATTTTTTCTTTTTACCCGAAATCTAATTAAAAATCATGGTAAGGTTTTACAAAAGAAAGTTCCAATTTCAAAGAACTGAAACTGTTATCAATAGTTTCAGTTCTAAGAACTAAACTAAATCACTCAGCTGTTTTATCTTTTTGAATTGATCTATGTTCCTTGTGTCACCATCAATAATAATGGGGACTCGTTCACTCTTTTGGTCGATACAAGTACATGAATTTCTTTCTTTCAATAAATGGCTTATAACAACTGTCACAGGCCTACGCCCAGATTACTCTTTTTTTCAGCAGTTTGGAGTAATTCTTTTTTTTAATCGATTCGGAGCGATGATTTTTCAAGTTTTGGGTTTTCATTAGGTAAAATCGATATTTTCTATTTTGGTCTATTCATTAACATAAATTGCTGATGAAAATAAATAATCCGACTTCCTTTTTTTCCATAATGGTACGGGTGACTCCAGGATGATGCGCTTTTTTTGAGATTGTCCGAATTTCTTTTTTTAAGCAATTCGATTAAATGTATAGACAAAAACAAAAAATGTTATTGTAAGTACCTCAAAAAATCAATTTCAAAAAATATTACTCCAAATTAGCCAAACATTTTTTTTGGAATGCTGGAAATCAGAAAAGTGGAAAATATAAATCGAAATTGTTAAAAGTCTCTGTGATTTTGAGTGCTTAAAAATAGCTACGAATTCGAAATGCTGGAAAGAAAGCAAAGAAACCAGAATTGCTTAAAAATAACAGGAATTCCATTTTTAAGTAACTCAAATTGTTTAAATCGTAAAAATAACCAAAAAAATATTGCTTTGATCAATTCTGTCACAATAAAATTTTTTTATTAAGGCTTGTACGATATTATTGAATTGACAAATAGACGACGAACAATGCGAATATCAGAAGAATTAAATGAGTTCTTTGATGCTACTCGTTCTGATATTCGATGTCCACAATGTGAAAATTTTATGAATAAAAGATTTTATGTAACAAAATGGCCGTCAGTAATTTTATTATTTGTTAGACGCTTTGTAGCATCTGTTGATGAAATCAATCAACCACCTGTGGCCGTTGATCTATCAGCTTATACCAATCCATCATATGTTTATTTATTGACACTATAATTTTTGAACTGCAGAATTCTACAGTTTTTGAATTTGAGATATGAGACTCCCCAGAAGTTTTGAGTTTTTGACAGCAGAATATTTGAATTGCAGAATTCTTCTATTTTTGAGTTTTAGAAATCAGAATTCGCCGAATTGCAGATCTTTTGACTGACACGGAATTCTCGATTTTTTTAATTGCAGAATTCTCCAATTGTTGAGTTTCAGATTTGTGAGTTCTCCGAATTTTTGAGGTTTGACAGGTGAATTTTTGACTTTTCGACTTGGGGAATTCTACTGTTTTGAATTTGAAAAATGAGACTTCGCCGAATTTTAGACTTTTTGACATCAGAATTGTTGAATTGCAGAATTCTAGACTCTTTGAACACAGAATTCTACACTTGTTGAATGGCAGAATTCTTCTATTTTTGAGTTTCAGAATTTAGATTTCTCGGAATTTTTGACGTTTTTACAGCAGAATATTTGAATTCGAGAATTCTAAATTTTTGCATTTCAGAATTCTAGAGTTTTAGAACTGCGGAATGGTTTTTCACAAAAAGAATTGTTGAATTGCAGAATTCTGGACTTTTTCAATTCCAGAATTCTGCCATTTCCGAGTTTGAGAACTGCGAGTTCTTCGAATGTTTCTGTTTTTGTCACCAGAATTTTTGAATTGTAGAATTCTAAACCTCTTGAATTTCAGAATTCTACACTAGTCGAATTGCAGAACCCTGCTGTTTTTGAATTTGAGAAATGAACCTTTAGGGGTTTTAGAGTTTTTCACGGTAGAGTTTTTGAAATACAGAATTCTAGAGTTTTTTAACAGACAATTTTAGACTTGTTGAATTGCAGAATTCTTGTATTTTTGAATTTTAGGAATGAGAATTCGCCGAATTTCAGTTCTTTTGTCTGACACAGAATTCTCGACGTTTTTAATAGCAGAATTCTGCTATTTTTCAGTTATAGAATTGAGAGTTCTCCGAATTTTAGAGTCTTTGACGTCAGAATTTTTGAATTGCAGAATGCTACACTTTTCGAATTGGAGAATTCTACTATTTTTATATTTGGGAATTTCAGATCTTTTGACTGACACAGAATTCACGACTTTTTGAATTGCAGTATTCTGCTATTATTGACTGTCAGAATTGAGAGTTCTCCGAATTTTTGGAGTTTTTGACATCGGAATTTTTGCGTGAATGGTGGTTTCGTGAATGGTGGCTTATGACAGATTGTAAAGCTCAAGTACATAACGTTAAATTATGTATAGCTGAACAATGTGGAGGTCCCCAGAGAGCAACGTCATGTTTGATGTGTTCTGGACGAGGCCGATCAATAATTACGCAGACTGAATATTCGGCTGTCCAGTCGGAAGAGGGTCTGATTAGCAAATATCGAGCAGAATACAACCGATATTACCGTTTTCGTAATCATTTGACTTTAAATAGCTACTATCAGGAAAATCATATATTCTCGAAAACAATGCAGTTTGATAGTCCCCATCAATCATTCAGCACTCAAGATGATAGAATTCGGAATAAATGGGAGAATATCATTCATGAGATGAAGTCAAAGTTATTACAATGTGAGGCTGAAGTTATATCACAAACGATTGAGTCGGCAGAATCAATGTGCATGACTATACGTAGTAAATTTTCTGCAACAAAGAGGGAGACTGAATTGGTGGATGTTGGGCGTGAAGAAGGATTGAAACTTAAAGAAACGATCGAAAAATCGTGGAATAAAGTTTTCGGAACGGAAATTCGGGAGATTATCCGCAAAAAATGGTTGGGAAACACAATGTGCCACGTCTTCTACGCTCAACTCCAATAGCTCGGTTACACCTGCACTGGACGGATACGCAGGTTCAGAAATTGAACCGATCCAAACAAAAAGTCTTGCAACATCAGAAAACTCGATTAATTTGTCGAGGATGTGGCAAACAGGGCCATAAACAATTTAGATGCTTAGCAAAATGTACGTTTTGTCGAGGTGGGCCACCTCGACAAAACGGTCTTCGGAATGTCTTCGGAAGACATTCAGAGGAATACTGTAAGAAGAAAAAGAATCAGGTTCAGTCATCATACTCACCTGGACAAATGAATACAGAATTTGTCTCGAAAAACGATGGGATGGTGACGAAACCTAGAGCATTAGCTCAAGGATCAGATTCTAATGAGACGCCACAGTTAGCTACACCGAATGAAGGTTGTCCACCACCTCGTACGAATTCAAGCTACTTAAATAATGAGTTAACCCAGCATTCAGGACGTCGTAATACCTGGCGTAGCAATTCGAGTACAAATTCCAGAAGTATAGTAGTGACGGATTTAATCGGGCGTATAAACCTGTAACTAATTCGAGTAGAATAAATAAAAATGTTTTTAATGAGGATAATAATAATTACACTAATAGTTTTAATCCTGGAAATACTGTAAATAGTGCCAACTTTTCCAACCGCCATGTAACATTTGATGCAGGTACCGCTCCAAGTAGGAGTGACGTCGAAAACCAGTTACAGTTTTCTCCTATTCATTCGGGTGAACCGCTTCGCGTGTCGGAACACGTTTTTAGGATAGGATGTGTGCATTTAGATACAAATTAGACTTTTTGAATACAGAATTCTGGACTTTTCGAATTGAGATTTCTACTGTTTTTGACTTTCAGAAACGAGCATTCGCCGAATTTCGCCAGAAGTCTTGGCAGCAGAATGTTTGAATTGCAGCGTTCTGCTATTTTTTGTTTTCCGAATTGAGAGCTCCTCCAATTTCTGGAGTTTTTGACATCACAATTTTTGAATTGCAGAATACTAGACCTTTTACACAGAGCATTCTCGACTGCAGTTCTCCAGAACTCGTCTGAGAATAATAGAGAATTGGCAATCGATGGTTACCAGACCTAGATGGTGACCTAAACTCGTCAGAATATAATAGAGAATTGGCAATCGATTTTTACTGGAACTAGTGCGAGAAAGGAGTAGAGATTGTACGTCTATAGCTAGCATGAAGACGCGTTGCATACCGAAGAGTAAAGAAAAGAAAAACTGACTTCGCTGCGAATGCGAATTTTCCATGATCTCAGAATTCTGCAATTGAAAAAGTCGAGAGAATTCTCTGTTCAAAAAGTCTAGAATTCTGCAATTGAAAAATTCTGCTGCCAAAAACTCAAGCATTCAGAGAACTCTCAGTTCTGCAAGTCAAAAATAGTAGAATTCTGCAATTCGAAAATTCTAGAATTCTGAAATTCAAATAGTTTAGAATTCTCCGCCCCAAAAATTCTGCTGCCAAAACCTCAAACATTCGGAGAACTCTCAGTTCTGAAACTGAAAAATAGTAGAAGTCTGCAATTCAAAAAGTCGAGAATTCTCTGTTCAAAAAGTCCAGAATTCTGCAATTGAAAAATTCTGCATAGCTTGCACAATACACATTCGCCGAGAATTTGATTTTCTAAGAAATGAATTCGCATTCGCTGGGAATTCATTATGATGCTTGTTGGTGTATATGATATACTTGCGAATTCTCTGCAATTGTCTGACTAGTTTGGGTCACCGTTTAGGTCAGTAACGGTCGAGTGGGAATTCTCTATTATTTTGTGACTAGTTTAGGTCACCATCTAGGTTAGGTAAGGATCGATTGCGAATTCTCTGTTATTTTGTGACTAGTTTAGGTCACCATCTAGGTTAGGTAAGGATCGATTGCGAATTCTCCGTCATTTTGTGACGAGTTTTGGTCACCATCTAGGTCAGGTGAGATTCGATTGCGAATTCTATTATATTCTGAGCTTGACGCCTCCAGCATGTGTTTAGAGGTTTCGAAAGATATGTATTGCGTGAATAAACTGTTCGAAAATACATGACATACAAAACGCATGAAAACTAGATGAATTTATAATTCGGGAACTACTGGTATCTGACCGTTTGAGCACATATAAGCAAATATCGTAACAAACCAAAAGCATAGTGCTAGCACTGTTCAGCTGCTCGTGTTTTAGAACTACAGCCTCGTTTTTTTCGTTGTTGTACATTGGGCATGGCATGATCTTTGTGTCTTTTTTCTCTTGATCTCTGTTCAAATGTATCTATGCCTAAAAGGAAAGAATCCGTGGAGAATAACATATCGCAACTCGGTGGTTTGTCTAGCACCTGTCACATTTACTCCGGCTTGTAGCTCAGCAGCATGTTCTATAGCCGTAACATCATAGGGATACAAAATTTGGGTATCATCATATT